TCGAAACTCCTTTTGGCAGAAGAATCAGGACTTTACATAGGATCCGCCTGCCTAGACTCGGTGCCGAGCAGCCCCGAGCTGTCCCTGGCTGCGGGGTGGGAGTCTGTTGGTGTTTGCCAGTTCGGGATATTCAGAGGGCGAAGGGGCCGCACAGCCGAGTCATGGGGTAACCGGCACAACGCCCCTCTCCTCCCTGCTGCAGGACCCGCGTGCGGCAGCCGAGCGGGACCTGCTGTAAATCCGCGCCCGACAAAGTGCACCCACAAAGCACAACGCGAGCGCTGGCTCCGTGTCGCCGTGAGCTCCGTGCGGGCATCTCAGCTCCGGATCCCCGCTGATCTGGCCACACTTGCAAAGCAGATGCTCTCCAACACCTTTTTTTCTCCCGTTTTTCGCTGGGTGGTAGTGCTGGAGGAATGTGGTGAGATTTCTGGGATGCTGGCTTGACTTTTTTTGCGAAATCGACCCTTCAGTTTAGTTTGTTGCCGCTGTCCCTAACCCGTCAGGGGGCATTTATGTGATATTTACGAGAATTACACAGTTCTTTTATCTGGCGGCCGTGCACGAACAGGGCTCGCCACAGCGAAATCAGTTCACATTTAAAATCCCCTCCCCCGACAAAGCCTCTTGCTGGGGACCGACGCTCGCCAGCTCGGCTGCCGGTGTTGCTGGGGTCGTTCCGAGACAGAACTACAAAGTGAGAGCTGGGCCTTTCCAGCGGCCCGGGGCGAAGTGGAGCCGCCCTAGGGATGCTCCCCGCGGGCGTCGTCCCGTCGGCGGGGAACCGCCAGGTCTGGCTGTCGCCTCCTGTAACCCAGGAGGTTACATAGTCTCGACTAGCTGTTTCCCGCACTCTCTCAACCTACCCTAGCACCATGGATTAGGAAAAAAAAAAAAAAAGGACACCAACACACAGTCTCACAGGCCGGTGGCATCGCAGTCCCCCGCCTTCCCTCCGCAAAAGCTTGGCTGTACAAATCCTTCCTCTTCGAATCCACACTTTAGCTCTACGGACTTTTCCTTGCGCAAGGCTCCATACTTTGTAACCCTCCCCAGAAATGGTGAAAGAAAATAGCAGAAGTATTGACTTGTTAACATTTGATTTATTTAAAGTCCTTAACTGCAAATGATCAAAAACATACTTCACGCATTAAATTCTCAGTTATCGTTTTAAATCAAAATATTTTTCAATTACAATCACATTTATAAAATTAACAAAATTTCTTAAATTCACGTGTAATTCTTTTTTAACTGTCATTTAAAGCAATTTCCAGCTGTAAAGAAAGAAAACAATATAAACCATGCAATAAATTAAGAACATTGAGACAGCGAACAGGAATAATAATAAAACCCGTCTGGCTATGCTAACACCGTGTAAAACTGTGGAAAGTGCAATAACACTGGATGAAACAAGCTAACGATGGCGATAATTAAACGGCCACAAAAAAAAATTTATTAAACAAACTGGAAAATGGGACAGAGCTGTCCTCTTTTCCTTGCATCGGTATAATAGTCAATGTTTCCTGGGGGAAGGGGAAAAATAACCTGGTTATAGATACACAGTTCTAGCTGGTACACAGTGAAGACACTTAAATTAAATAAGCACGTCATCCACATGTTGATGAGAGTTCCTGATGAACGAGAATCTTCAGTAACAGAAGGGAAGGAAAAAAATATCCAAATGGCTGTGACCTCTTGTAACTTTATATTACATCCCAAGACAGGTAACACTTGAAAAAAAAAATTAGGGTCGCATCCTGCACTCCAAAGCTCCAGCTGGTCCCCTCGGGAGTGCAGGATCCGGCCCGCAGCATTTGGGTGTATGCGGGTTGTACTAGCCGAAGGTTTATTTTGCAAGTATCAAAAGGATGATCCGAGAAAGTAAATAGTCCTCTTGTTGCTTAGAGATTCTCTTAGTGTTTTGCTACTTCACAGCAGTATTGTCCTTCAAAGCCTTTTTAATTAAAAAAAAAAAAAAAGTCTTAAATGTCTACTCGCTTCTTCATCTCCGTATTGTTAAAGTATTGCCACATACCTGTAAACTTACATGAGATTATAGAGCACATAAGGGTGGGAGACGAGGGGGCGGAAAGCACAAACAAGAAGTTTACAAGCTCAACATTTTTTTCTTCTTTTTTAATAACACCCTGCATTGGCTGGGGGGGGTGAGTTTCCGGGGAAAGGAGCTAGGTGGCGGGGGGTATGTACAAGCGGGACGTGGCCGGCTTTGCAGGAGGTCGTGGTGAATCATAACAACACACAACGCGTTGAGAGGCAATTAAAAAGTAACAGTCCTTTGCACTCAGCGTGCGGAAACACCTCTGTTTGTCTCAGGGAAAGGGGGGAGAGAAGGCAGGAAAGGGGGAATGGGGGCTCGCACCCGGAGGCGCGGGGTGCAGAACTAGGAGGTGTTTAGCACGGGTCTGGAATACACACCTTGGTAGTAGGAGGGCTCTAGGGCCGAGGGCTCGATGCTGCTCCGGCCCGCCATGGAGGCGCTGCCCAGGGGGAGCCCGCCGGGGATGCTGGCCCCGTAGGAGGAATATTGCAGCGCCTGCTCATAGGCTTTGAAGTCCAGCTTGTGCTGCTGCTCCGAGGAGGACATGAGGTTGTTGATGGAAAAGGGGTGGTTGAAGGAGTAGTGGGGATCGCCCTTGAGGTGGAGCTGGGGTTCGTGGGCTAAGGAGTGAGGGGGGTGCGGGACGGAGGCCAAGGAGGGGACGGAGCTGATGGTGGAGGAGGCGGCCGAGGCCGAGGTCTTTAGCTCCGTGCTCGATCCGCTGTGGTCCATAGACTGGGGGCTGGTGGACGGGTTGGAGCTGGAGAGTGAGGTGGCTGTTTCCAGCTGCGTGGGTTTGTTTTGGCCTCTGTGCAGGGGG